TCACTGGCCCTCATATGTGGGATCCGAACCGGGGCCTTCTGGCCTCCCAAGCCAGTTCTTAACCATCGCGCCACTATGCCAGCCCAAGATATCCCCACTTTTTAAAATTCCCATAAATTATATAAATTTATGGGCATTTAGAAAACTAAACAAGGCTATATAATATAGGGCATATCACAGTAAGAGCAATTCAACTTTTTGCAGTTTGGCTAAGTCTCAGAAACACATTTTGCACTTCAAGACATTGCTTCTCCAAGTCCCTCAATATTACAGATGATCACACATTATATTGGCCATGTTTTAAAAACTAAACAGCAATGGTTTTATTTTCCAGTGTGCTCTACTTTAACAAAGAGGGGACCACACCCTTTACCACAGCATGCAACATTCTGAAATAAGCAAAAACAAAACATGCATTCATTCTGCAATTCAAGCATAGCGCTATAGAATATACACATATGACTTAATGTACTACCTTCTTTATAATCCAGTTGAGCTCATTTCCTAAAACCTAATTATTTTCTTTGCCAGGAAAGGGAAATAAAGAGTAATTTAAAAATACTATCTTTTACAAGATTTACTACTTTGACAATGCTGAATTTTAATGTTTTCATTTTTATTATCAAAATGGATCAAAAAAAGTCTTTTAATGTCCAAATAGCTACAAATGAGTATCAACATCTTGCTCCTCTCATACCTATAGTATCTGGGAGGTCTAGCAGTTCATTGTGCTGCAAGTCAAGGTTGGTTATCTGTGTGCAGTTTCCAATCTCCTTTGGAAGGTGTTCAAGTTGATTGTGAGCTACATCCAGAGTAATGAGGTTACATAATTCACCTGTAAATTGATCAACATAAAAATTTAATAAGAATTATTAAAGAATATATTAAATAATACTAAAAGAAAAAAGCTTCATTTTCAATATAATTATACTTTCTTTCTGAAAGTTAAAGTGAAACATAAAACTGAAACTGTTATTTAAAAATTACATCTTACAAATATCAAATCATTATGTTGTACACCTAAAACTAATACACTGCAACTTAATCAGACCTCAATTTATAAAAAAAACGACACCTGACAGTTAAAATATTGTTGTAAATGATTACTAACCAATATTATATATATATTTAAGTAACCAATTCAACCACATTTACATCTGTACAGTCCATACTTTAAAAAGAGCTAATTTTTTAACCAAATTCAACACAATAATATCAGCTACATCTTGAGTTCAATGTGAGAGTCACCATCTATCTTAAAATATATATGCTCTCAGTGTCTCTGAGACTATCTCCATCCACTTCTCCCGTGGAAGAACTGAGGGTTGTTAGTTGGGAGGGGGTGGGGATGAAGGAGAAGGGGAAGGGATGAGACAATACAAATTGGTAATTGCAATATGGCCTCAGGGATAGAAAAAGACAGTCTGGGGAATATAATCAATAATGCTGTAAATATTTCTTAGGGAGCCAGATGGACCCATGTCCTGTTGGG